CGCCCCTGCCGCCAAGAAAAATACGAAGGAATTCATTCAGCCTTATGCTGGTGATGCGATCCTTTCCCTCCAGCAGTACATCCTCCACTTGGCTCAAAAGTGTCCAATTTGTTTGCTGCCTTTTCCCCACTCCTCTGCAAGTCGCAGCGGGTTGATCGGTGTCAGTATGGAAGTCCGACCTCGTTCTCTTCCGACAATCCCCTTGCGGCACAGTGGGCACTCGACTCTCCACATTGCCGCCTTGTACACTCTCCGGCCTTCCAGCAGGCATCGTTTCTCCTCGTCTTTCTGGTTGGATTGAGTCGGATCTAAACAATGGCCACCAAACAAAAAAGGGGGATGAAAAAAAGAAAGACAATAGGCACAGTCATGACTGGCAGCCAAAACAAGAGACTCATCCACAGCAAGAGAGTCATCCACACAGTATTCGATAAAAACCACATGCACGAGGACCACCGCAACGATATGTGGATTTCATCCACCCAGCACAGTGTTGGTTAGAGCCAACAATAATAACAACGTGGTGAGCGCGGAGGGTTTGCTCATGCATTCCGCTCGCCACGGTCCCGCACCCGTGTGGCACCGCCGTCACCGCACACACTCTGCAAGAGGACGTGGGCACATAAACGCTGACACACAGAAACACACACAAACAAAAGTGGGAGGATTATTCGGTGCATTAACAGCCACACGCAAGAAGCACAAATCATACACGCCACAACAGCGATGCATCACGGTAATCCCCCACACAACAGAAAAGAGTGCAATTTGCATGCTTTATGGAAAATATCTGCAATGCGCGTGTCGCAAAAGAGTGCCGTGACGCTGCCTTTCATGTTGCATTCGCCATTCACGTATCACTTGGAAGCACGCAGCCATCACTCCTCCGTTCAGCTCCCCGTGCTGCTCGTGTCGCTTCACTGGAGGAAGTTGTCACCGCACATCCCCATCACCGTGCATTGCAGAATACAAACCTACCACACGGCATGGGTGCGGCGCCACCCCGCCAATAAATCCCAGGAAACTCCCCGCTGCCTCGTGTGGCACGGACGGCAGTATCATTATGCCTGCGAAAGGCTTTTTTTCCAAACAAGAACGCGGCCCCACCACACGTCCGTAAGAACGTTTGTTCCGTCGCACGCAAAGGAGTTGAGCGGGAGAACAGCAGGAAAGACAACACCGGCAGCCATGAGCAGCCCGCACACGCCAACACATCGCTGCCCCGCATATCACCAAAAATAAAAATAACAAAGAAACATGTAACATCCCAAATACAAATCGCAAGTGCGGTTGCAGCACACACTCCCACCTCCTGGGCGTGTGCAGCCCCTCGCTGCTCGGCACTCTAAGTGAAATCACCAAAAGCACCAACTCGGGAGCATTCGACCACCGCCACAGCAGTCACGCTCCCCATTTCTCACAAAGGCAAAGGCTTGCAGTGGCGCAGCGGACGGCGGCACGCACAGTCGCAGGGTAATGGACTGCCGCGGGAAGCACGCAACGGCGATGCGCCCCTCCTTTGGGAAACCCAACAAAAAACATGTGTCGCGCAGTCCCCGTGAGCAACACACATTGAACCGTATTCAGCTCCACTACTGTGGCCATCCGCACACACAGCATGAGTGCGACAACGCAGGCAAGGAAGCACGGAATAACAGCACTCATCCCTCCCATAAAGGCTTTGCGGCGTCCGTGCTGCCTTCAACAATAATTCCACCCCACATCACCCCTCTGCATATCCGCAGCAAAAA